GCGGGTCGCCGGAACGTCAGCCGAACTTCTACGACTAATTTACCAACCTCGCGTCAGCTAATCAAGATAAGTTTCCTCGATTTTCATATAACAATTAGAAAATTGTGGTTGGGACATCTAACAACTAGACTCACATCTATTGCATCATCACGAACTGTTAATATTGCGTTACATCTCGTTTGCTGTATCTTCAACGGCAATTATGTTGTGGTTGCTACTTGCTATGGGTTATACGTCACGCGATGAATATGGTCCGTTCGTCTTAGGATTGACGCTGTTCATCATCAAATAATTAGTTAGAGACCCGCATGGAAGGAATAATAGATAAAATCGAGTGACTCATCCGGCACACAGCACACACTAACTCGCACTAGGTACGAAAGCCTAACTACTCTTGTGCAATCGCTAAGAAAGCTAAATTAATCGAAGCACTCTTCATCAAAAAACCGATATTAGCAATATGTCTACCCATCGAGAAGACAGTGGAAAAGGGCGCAGATATATAAAAACATACCCAGTGACATAAAGACATACAAGTACACACGCAAATCGATGAAAGCATACACACATGAATACAGTGCATTAAATATGAAATAGCTTCATAATTTAGTTCATGTGACCAACAGTCCTGATGATCGCTATTCGGTTGGTCTCCACTTGAACAGCTTGATGGAGTACGTATTGAAAACGGTATTTTGAAAGTTATTTTGTGGCGGCCGATGTGACTGGAATCTGGATTTGGTGATTTTTTTATTATGATGTATTGGAGATGTTGGATCGAGTGATTTGTGGGCAGCTTGATCTTCCCACTCTTCAAGAACGAGAACTGCAGAAAAGTCAGCTGTTTAAATAAATTGTGTCATGAAAATCTCGTGTTCGACTCAAAAAGGAAGACAAGGAACTATCTGATAGAACACTCACAGTAGCATTCCGCATTACGCATTGTTATGTTGATTCTAATAGTTATTGTACTTTTTGTGAGTTCCTCAATTGAGAATTCTTGCTCCTCAGATCCAGCGATGAACTTTATGCTCAATGCTGAAGGATTAGCATTCTATGATATAGAAATATTTGCAGAATTTTAGACATTGACGAGAATGGTGCAATATCAAGAAAAAATTACCAGATATTTAGCAAGGGTAAAGCATTTTGCATTCACAGTATTACAGTGAACTCGTAATTTGATTCATTTGACTGTGTTTATTGACTTTTTTCGTTATCTACACAAAATAATGCTGTCATATCAGTGAGCCCTCATAAAGAAGTTCACCGCACACTTCCGTTGAGAGAGCGCGGTTTGTCGAGCTTCCGAACAGCTGAAGCCAGCCTCATTACTAGATATCTTTGAGTACGATAACAGTCGTCTTTGATTTCGTTGACGGTGAGTGAAGGTGGAGAAACTATTTTATGGGCCTTATCAATAAATACTGATGAAAAAAATACGTCATACAAGAAATAATCTCAAATTCGCTCATAGATTTAAAAGAGAAAAAGACAGTGCTAGTCGATTACGAAAACACAAGTCAAATTTCATGATGGGTAGATAGCTCGTTGAAAATTCTGAGCGTTGTTCGTTCATCTCAGGATTACTGTTATGGTTGTGACTCTGTCAAGGCGACAACATGCATTTGTGCTTCCCTTGATAACCTTTGGTCGTCTATCGCTTAACGGAAAGTGATTGGCAGTTCTTCACTCTCATGGGCTTCATTGAGAGAAATTTCTTATGAATGTAATCAACGACAAACACAAAGCACAAGAGCATTCGTAAATGTGCGAAACTCATCTACTGCCATTTGTGAATGTTAGCATAACGATCGACGTAAATGAGTAGCGTCTGGTCAGCACATTGAGCGCGTTGTGTAATATTACCATGGAAGTTATTCTGAAACTCGTTTTTGAAACAGGATAAAACCGAACTTGCAAAAAAAAACGGACGTGAGTGCATGGATTACTTCCGATTACTTTGAAGAATTGTAGAGGTTTCAAAGTAATATCATGTCAAAACTCAATTATGAAGGAAGCCTGGTGTAAAGGGAATGAACTGAACCGGATGGATCATCAACTGGGTAGACCATTACTTAAATGATTCTTAAACTTTTCCTGAGTGTGTATAACAACTTGGAATACAACTCGATGTAAGACAGCGAGCAGCGTGAGCCGAGCTTGAACTTTGTCAGAGACCTCTGGCCAATGTCACTATCCTAACACGTCTACTTACTTGACGCTACAGTCGCAGTTTTGCAGTATGAGGGGGGAACATGTGCCAGTGTCTCTCAGTAGAACTACACGTTTTGAAACACTTTCAACACTAGGCCCACGTTTCCCAGATCACATATTGAAGGATGCCCTGTTCGAAGCAGATAAAAGTATGCATTAAAAACAAGTTTGATGAGGGAGACGGGGGCAAGGAGGAGGAACAGGAGAGGTCTTTTTGGGAAGATGGCTGGAGAATGAAAAGAACAATGGAGTGGATTTGGAAAAAGACCTCAGGCTGGACACATAGTAGTTCTGTTGACAGCGGATGACGGTAGACGTAAGCCGGGAAAATCCTTTGAAATGTCTAACACACAATAAGAAGGCCACCTGGCACGGTTCAACTTCTTCACAAAAAATCTTCAAGATGGATATGATACCCAAGCAATCCTTTCAATATGGAGGACTAATTGTGCTGTTTGACGTATTTGGAGAATAGGGAAAGCTCCGCTATAGTCACTCGACAGTCAACCAGACACCAGATTATATAGGTGATGGCATTCCATGCAAAAAACGTCTTGAAATTCGCGGATTTATTGCAAATCCGTATTGAAAGTGCAGGCAGAATACTGTAGAGAAATTGTTGGTTGTTCGGCAATTCAATCAAAACGACACAGAAGTCTCAAAACACGAAACGGCTGTAAATGCAGGTAGCTTATTCAGCTTCAATCACGACTTATACAACTCATAAACAGGGTCTATGATAATACAGCGCTGGCGGTGCTTTCGATCTGTCATTAGCGAAATAGTTGAAACAAAATTCACTGCAATCCAAGTCGAAGACTTTTCTCCATCACTTTGGAAATCGAGTAAAACTTTTTGGTTCGAACACTATGTCGTTTACTATTGGGATGAGAGCTTCCACAGCGAAAAGATGATTTCTCAAAACATTTCTCTCTACGGTTGCAAAGAAAATTCTGGGGCACTCTAATAAGCATGGGATAACTCCCATGCATATTACGGAAATATTACACTTTCTCATGTGGGATTTTCCCGCTATGGGCACAGATATTATTCGTCTTTATTTTCACTTTGTTACAAGCCTCCGCCCTGTCCAACGACATAATCCCTGTTCGTGCTTCATTGCGTCATCATTCGAGAAAAGGTCTTTCACATCGAGCTAAGTCGATGGAATCAACGAAGTTGAAAGGAGAGGCACACAAGCAAATCTGCTGATGGACGCTGGTTTCAACGCTTCTCGTGCTGGAGATCGTGACCTCGGAGACAAGACTCGTTCAGGAAGTCCAACAGAGTTTGAGTGGTTTGATGAAGCTGAAGAATCACTTTAAGGGTTCTTTGATTCGATGGCGAAACAATTGTACTCCGACCAGCTTTGAACTTGGCGGGCCGATGGCAGAAAGTCGCAGAAAACGATGTCCTTTATTTTGACGAAAAGTCATTAATGCTTTTTTTGGGATTCATGCATGATTTTTCAATTTTCTACAAGTACTCCAGAACTTTATTTTGAACCTAATAATTTGTTGGAGATGTATAGTCACTAAAGAGCTTTTAAAATTCAAAATCTCGGCCATCGTGTGCTCGCAACAATTCAGTAAACATGAGAACAAGTAATGTTGTCCAACTGGGAAAATGCCATAATGGCATCAAATTTTGTTGCTTTTTTTCTATAGTAAAGCAATATCTCCTTCGAAGCGTTATTGTTTGTAGACATCTTCAGGTCTTCAACCTCGCAAACTGATTGAGTCGAAGTGATCACTTAGTGATGTGAAGAAAACTCCAAACTCTCAAACGATTTTTCAGAAACATTACAGAAATGGAGAGACTATTAAAGAGGTTGTAATCACTGCAAAAATAAATGAGATTTCACTATATGAAATGTGCAATAACAGATCTTGTTTTGCCTGCATATCGTGCGGAAAATGCGGAAAGACGGCGCTCTGTAGACATCCACCTTGAATTGCTTAAAAGATGAATAGAGTAGCGTCTGCTTATCATCACATCAACTACATTCTTCAACATCGTCCATTGTAATTTCCCGTTTCTATGCACTGGCGATTTCACCGTTGGAAAATATTGTCCTATCTCACGACAACATTTGATGTCTTCATGCAGCTGTTTATTCTGGGACCCAATCCTGACACGATTTTCCGTTAACGTCCTCATATCGGTGGATTTTTGCTAACATATTATTACACGTCTATTTCTCAGCCATACTATTGAAATTCTATAGATCGACTCAATTTGGCTATCAGTTGACCACTCCGTTAAAGCTATAATTTATGGGGCGTGCTAAGTGTAAGAGGCTAATAAGAACATCAAAGTTTCATAAACTCAATTTTTGCTTAGAAATTTATTACCGGAAAAGTTTTGCAATGAGAACTGGTTTTTATCAGTCGATATCTCCTTTGGAAGACTTCTTCTCAGATTTCCAGTTGTGATTCAGGCGCTTTGTCAGTTGTCGCAGCATCAGAAACAAGAAGGCGGGAACCGAAATATAAGCCGAGCAACTAGAAAAATTGGCGCATTTACTGGAATTTTTCTTTAACTTGTCTCTCTCACGCAGTCCATTTTCATTCAAGATTTGACAGAGATTTTCTCACCTCGACAACTGGTTTTTTGAGCATCGCATTAGCACAGTGTGTCACTTAATACGCTTCTCTTCATATCGATAAAGGCTGTCCTATACCTCCCACTCCTGGTGTTGGAAACCACTTTTATTACGAGTATGGCAGAAGGCAGCAGATGCGATTCAGCGCAAAGGCTTTACATATACCTAAGAGAAAGGCACCTCGGTGGTGTAGTGGTAGCACGCGCCCCCCGTAAAGATGAAACGCGGGTTCGATTCCCGCCTGAAGCCGTGTTTTTGCTCACCACTCAATTCTCTTAGATGTATGTGAAATATCTAACACTACGATAAAAGCAGTAGAAACACTACAAATCTGGAGCAAAGACTTTATTTCTGCATGATGTTTGATCACGCTTGATCAACGCACAGAATTTATCTTGGAACAAAGAAGATTTCACAGAAAGCAGCATCAGAAAACTTCTAGCAGCTTCCCCTAGTTTTGCGTCGGAGTCTCAATTTTGTGTCAGCCATAATATTACATGGCATTCTTGAAAACGGATTTGTTTCTTGCGGATTTCTCATTTCACTCGATGACAGTTTCTTGATCATCTCCTATCTGAATGAAATATTTATACGGAGAATGTCGTGGTCGGTTCAAAAGTATGGAATGACACTGACATTCAACACTGAGTCAATTTCACCTTGTTCAAAACGATGCGATCGATGTTCGCTTTTAGGAGACCACCTCAAATGAAGTTAAAAATCGAAGACGAATGCATGGCTATCCTATTATATATTATATAGAAAGATAGTGATTATGCTATTAGTTGATTGATTTCGTTAAATAACTGACAACTGAATCGATAAAAGTGTCGAAATGCGGAAGAAATCATGGGACAATCCAATACATCCAGAAAAGTCGGTTTTGATCTGATTTCGGCATACGTAATTGATCATTTTCTGCATTATTAGGCTGAAATGACGTTAGTAACATGTATTGTTCGGCTAATATCTCGTCATCTCTGTCTTTAGTGTAGTATTATTCGATGCGATGGTCCACAGGTGAATTTTCATTCATGCTATGTGGGCGTTCGTTGAACTATCAATGGAATCCAGGAAAATGCAAGCAAATTCATAATTCAGTCCATTGTATTACGGTAGAAAAGACGGAAAACGACTGGCTAGTGTTTTTCAACGGTATAATGACCTACTTCAGTATAGTAGAGTCGTCCGACAGGTTTTCTTGAACTCATCTATAAAGGCAAGCACATTCATTGGCATTAATTTCAGAGCACCCAAAATATGAATGACTGGACATGAAATTTGGCAACTTTTCGAGAGGCGAATGAGTGAATTTTTCGCTGGAACTTCAGAGCGGTGCTGCTGTAAAATCAATTCCGGCTACTATTCCAAACCTTCTAATATTATTTATTTCACAGCAGAAATTCGGCCAGTAAAAATGTGTATGGGAACTTCTCATTTACTTCTCAAGTAAAGTAGTAAGCACAAATTCATCATATTGTGCATTTCAATGTAGAAGCCTTTTGCCGACATAGCAAAGGCCCGAAATAGAACCGAAAAGAGAAGTGCCTCGTAATCACGCGTGACCTCGAACCATACCTCAGGGTGATTTTTCCGGCCCGAGTTAGGCACAGCCCACTGATGCACTGACCCTAGGCGGCTGGTCTTCAATTGATTATTGATAGACCCAAATATCAAAAACGGTGAGTGTTTTAGAACGAAACTTTTACTATGCGATCCAAAATTCCTTTTCAACGTTTTCTGCTGGGTTCGTGGAGGTTTTGGTTTGTTGTACTGTAGATCAATATGATCTTTCCAGTCTGTGAAAAAAGCGACCCGCCGAAACGATAGCCATCTCGAATATTGTACATTTAAGCTGCACTACCAACTGTATTGTTGCATGCTTCGTTAGTATTCAATAAATAATATCACTAACATCTCGGAACGGCTAAACGGAGGAAATACTCATTTCAATATAATCTACTGCTCTCCACTCTGATTGTTGAACACCCATATGGTTGCTTGTTTATTGATAGTGTACTGCCACAATGAACATCGACTAGATAGAAATGTTTGTCTAATGAATATCACAGTTTACTTTCAAT